CGGGTGGGATGCCAAGCTCAAATCGCGACAGAAGTTGTGACAAAGCGCCTGGACTTAGCCGTGTGATGCCGTAAGGACCTCAGCTACCTGTGTCTCAATTCGGAGACTTTAGCTTGATGACTCCGCACTGGTTACTGGTTCACTTGATAACTGTTACTTGTTGAATTTGCAGAAATCGTCTGATCCAGCTTCCTGCGCTCGGCCGGTTTATATAGGCCTCCATTTACCGCTAGTTATCGGCGTCTCCTTGCCTCCTGGTCCAAAGTCCACGTTTTTACCGTTCGACCTTTCGCCCTCTGCGCACGGCACCAACATCTGGGTCCAAAGTCCGGTGCCGCCCCGTTACTTCCTTCTGCCCACGGCCCTCCGCCGCTCTCTTCTATTGCTGTCCCTCTCGGACTCTCCTTGTCCTTGTCTGGTGCTCAGTGCACCACTCTCTCTCGCCGCACTACCGTTACTACGGGCGAATTCGCCGCGTAACTGGTAACTGGTAGGCCACTGCTTGCATGCGCTTACTCTGCTTGCTTCTTAACTTGTGGGGAGTTATTCAACTCCTCACAAAACTTTGTAATTCCCGTAATAATAAACAAAATCGAACTTGTAGTACCCTACATATTTCTTAAGCTATTGATTGTTTTCGATAGTCAACCGCGTGACTTCGCTTTGGGTAAAATAATAATTGACTGAAAATTGTGTTTTTTTTTTTTTGGAACCCCATACTGTAGCCTGAATAATGGTCCGTAATCAGCTTTAATTTTTTTTAGTTAGTTTTTTTGTTGTCTTATTTGAGTCTATACATACTCTAGAATATTGTGCTAACATTTTAATTGGAGCCGAGTTATAGTTCTGGTTAAACAGCTTCGGAAAGTCGTGCGCTTACTCCAAACTTTTATTGTCACTTGAAAAATTAAACGCGTCATTTAATGTGTTTGCATTCTTTGTCAAATATAAAATTTTAAAAAAATATGTCGACTGTTTTGGGTATGAGGATCCTAGCCAAATAGTTGTAGTATAGCAAAATGATTATAGGTTCAGGCAGTAAAGAAAAAAGTATCCAGAATCAAAGTACCCGTAAAATCGTAAATTTTGGCTCTTTGAGATCATTTATCTCGAAATCGGTTCAGCACACCGAGATTTATTAGAACTTTTTAGTCGCACCAATTATTAAGACTGTTGCACGGTGATACTAAACTTGCCAATTAAGCTTGTTCGTAAGTAAAAAATTAAGATTTTGATTTCAAACGCCGTTTTTCAAATATACAGCGACGTCAAAACCAAAAAAAAATTCCAATAACTTCTAAAATTAAGGTTCGATTTTTAAAATTTGTGTGTTTACCGACAGATATGACCGATTTAAACATACAGTTTGCGTATAAACGGACGGACAGACGGACATGGCTAGATCGACTCTCCTGGTGACGCTGACCAAGGATATGTATATGTCGGATCTTTAGTTTTGTTTTCGTGGTATTACGCTATTAAAATAAGAATTAACATGAAATGATGACTTACTTGGAAATTCACTTTTACTTAGAATTTGTTATGAATGCCACTCGTTGCTTTTTTATTCTTCCCTTCGCATTCCTTTCTTTATATGAGTTTCTGTGTGTAAGTGTTGCGTTGAGTCTAACGGATTTCTGTTATGTGCAGTCTCGGTGTGACGTGGTACGAGTAAAATAGATGGCCATATGGTATTTGGCAAAGTATGTGAACAAGAGTATGTTGACCAATTTGGTGTATAAAAGGGAGCTCTGATTGATAGATCAGGCAGTCACGATCGAGGTGCGGTACTGAAAGGTTACTAAATGTCACAGCCGAGAAAGCGCACGGCTCGCAACGCCCCAGAAATCATTGAGGAACTCGATGTTACGACATATACTTTAATAAATTTAATAATTTCTGCAAAGGTATAACAAGAAAAAGCACTATAGTCGAGTTCCCCGACTATAAGATACCCGTTACTTAGCCAACAAACTTTAAGCTAAGTATTCCACTTACAAAACAATCGAAGTTTAGGTGGCGCCATCTGTCGAACTACATAGTCAATACCAGAAGCTAAGTGCGTGCAACACCCTCACCTTCCGGTTGAAGGCCGGTGAGTCGTCCCAAACAGTGGCCAACCCGGGATTGACGGTCAGAAACGTTTTGCTGTGTGTTTGGTGGGATTGGAAGGAAATCATTCAATATAAGCTGCTCCCATATGGCCAGCTTTATAAAAAAAATCATATAAAAAACTGTATATTAAAAATGTTTTTGATTCCTTTTTTATCTTACTCTAAAAAATGCCTAAAATTCTGCCTTCTAGACCAGAACACCCCCTTAAATTCGTTCGTAAACCACAATAGAGACGGTGAATTTGCAAAGATTCTGAATGCTAGAATCGATCGATTCAAAATAATTTGTTAAAAGTCAAATACGTAATTATTAACCACATTCAGCAATAATGTTCTTTAAACATAAAATAGGCTTCGCGCATGATTGCCTGTGCCCCTATGATTGCGCCGATTAGGATGGAATGTCCCTCCTGGTGCACTATATGAGTGCCCTTGTTCATTTGAAGTTAACTTTATTGGCTTGCAGGAGGGGATTGAATGCCATCTGCTAACAGAAAGCCTTCTCGAAAAGGATATCAGCGGTCGTGCCTTGTCTTGCCAGTTCGTCAACTACGCAATTGACTACAATGTCGCGGTGACCGGTGACTTCTGAGATGATTGACCATCTCGTTAAGAGATTTGCGGCACTCAGAGATTGTTATTAAGGTAGTTTTGAAATAGTGTTGGATCCAGATTTTTGGCGACCTGTGTTGCCATGACCTCGCCTGTAGTACACTACAATGGTCTAGCAGACAAAAGGAGGATCTGATGTCTAACTCAGGGGAATATATTTCGCCTCCTGTTTGTTTGTTCAGCTTATACCCGTCGTCTGTAATACACCCAAATGATTTTCCCTAGATTGGTTATTTGTCAGTGTATCTATCGTGAATTCTATTCATCGGTAGTCGGGGAAAGAGTGGTCACCCCCGACTCTTCAGACCCCAAAGTGGTGGTAAAGTGATAATGATCAGGTCCTTTACCTTAATATTAACCTTTACATCATTACCTTCGTTGCAGGTTAATACATTTGACTGAAAAGAGGTAATCAAAATGTAACTGGCGCCTTTTCTTTTTTGTTTGTACTTACCCATTGCGTGTGGCTTGCATTAGCGTCTTTCTAGGATAATTTTGTTGTGCCTTAACTTAATTGTGTAAAATATAATTAATACCCAGTTTTAGTTGCAACATTTTTTATTTAAAGGTCAGTCTTTTTGTCAGGATATTAGGGCGAGTGCCAATACGCTTGATGTAACTGCATGCGTCCGACAAACATCGAAAATCTAAGGGATTTTAAGGTCTCTTTCTAAATATTTTGTTTTCATGTACACACCACGGAACAATACACAGTTTTTTTACTATCTTAATTTGTGCTACTCTAATTTTGTTGAAATTAGTCTTAGCCTTAATGCCGTAGACTTGTAACGCATCACTCTAAATAAGGCTTAAAATGGACTTGTAAATGCGAACTTTATTGGCGATTGAGAGATTGTTTTTTGACGAAGGAAACCAAGACATTTTTGCAGCCTTTGGAAGCATTGAATGTTTAAGCGTATTGGTGTGACTCTGTAAAGTGAGCTTGCTGCCTAGGATAACCCCCATGTATTACTAGAATGCTTCATGTCTTATTGCAGAGATATTCCTATGCAGTTCATTGGTCTTGTGGCGAATGTGACACAAGCATACTTTCTACCGTTGATTCCAATGTTCCATTCTTTAATCCACTTCTCAAAGCGTCACGTACTCCTGTAGACCTATGGTTGCGATATCTATGCTTGTACTTCTTACCACTACTGCAGTGTCGTCAGCATACGTCGTCTACTTTTGAACAGCTCTAGGAGTCCGGCATATCAAAAGTATGTAGCGAATACAGAGTCGGGGCAAGCACACTGCCTTGGGGTACGTCAGCGGCGATCGTGTGATATTCCTAAACTTTTCTCCCTTTCGGCAATTATTATTATTTCTCCTCTGCTTACGATCCTATTGCAGCAGCTCTTTGAAATAATATTTAAGCATAACACTGAGTACAATACGTACGTTTTGACTATTTTTGTTTATTTAAAACTACACTGAATTTTTTATTGGATAAAAAGCTTTGTACTAGGATAAATAAATGCAGCGTCAAAAGGATTTGTAGCTTGCTGAGTAGACCATCATGCCAAACGCTGTCAAATGCTTGCTATAAAGCTATTAAACAGCAGCACTATAAATAACACTGCTTTAATAGTGATGCTTAACGGCTTGAGCCTGTCCTGGGTTATCAGCAAAAATATCTGCCTTCTGCTGACTAGAGCCACCCCATCCTTCCGTCGGATTTCTGCCTTTGGGATGATATGTTTTTTTTTAAGGATTCGTAAGCTTCCATTGGGAGTTGGTCAATGCATTTGCGCCTGTGGTCAAATTTGGTCAAAAGGATCTTGCTTGTTTTTCGGAAAAACCTTGCTGCGGCGATTTGAAAACTTTTTTATGTGTTGTTTAGTGTGTTTAGTGTACTCTCTTCTTACTCTTCTTTTGAGCTCGATAAGGACTGCAGCATTTTGTGGCAGAAAGTTCCTTCGACACCGGAGGATGGATATTTCTCTTTGGGGTAGCAGGAGTTCAAATGCGGTTAATTTTTATTTTGGCATTTTGGCTATCTGGTTTTAGGCACGCAATTACCTTGGCCTAGATGTTATCAAAACACAAACTCAACACTTAACTTTTCCGCTTTTTCAAGAGCCGAAAGTAAATTTAATCTTGCCAAAGTTTATTTTAGCATGTCATGGTGACGAAAAAAAAGCCTATAAACAAATCCTTTTGCGCTACCCGCATTCTAGAAGGGCACAGAAAATGTGTAGCTATTCATGGCTTTCCTTTCATTGTACAATAATAAAAATGTATCTTTGGTTCCAACGGGCTTTTTGATTTTAGGTGAAACTACTGCTCCTAGGCGCTGGGGAATCTGGCAAGTCAACTTTCCTCAAACAAATGCGAATCATTCATGGCGTAAGTTTTGAATATGATCTGGTCCGCGAGTATCAGGATATAATATATCAAAATGTGATAAGAGGTAAGTCGCCATTTTTCATGTACCTTTATTATTTTGTCTTATTAAACTAACGTTAAAGGTATGCAAGTTTTGTTGGACGCTCGTGAAAAGCTGGATATTTCGTGGGGAAGTGACGGACGAGAACTCGATGCCAACGATGCTAAACTAATGGAAAGCAATGCAATTGAGTCCCATAGGTTTATGGAATATGCACCACAAATACGCCGCCTGTGGCAGGATCGCGGTATTAGGAGAGCTTTTGAGAGAAGACGTGAATTTCAAATTGTAAGCTAGCCCTAGTGCGCAAAGTGGCATTATGTTTTAATTTTGGACTATTTTGTTTATCAGAGCGATTCTGTTAGCTATTTTTTGGACGAAATTGAACGGCTGGCTAAACCAGATTATGAGCCCACACATAAGGATATATTGCTATGCAGAAAGGCAACCAAAGGGGTATATGAGTTTTGCGTAAAAGTACAGGTGAGCAAATTAAATAAAACCATGATATTATCAATTAAAGCTCGGTGACTTATAGAACATTCCATTTGTATTCGTTGATGTGGGTGGACAGAGGACTCAGCGACAAAAATGGACAAGATGTTTTGATAGCTCCGTTACGTCAATTATATTTCTAGTATCTAGTTCGGAGTTTGATCAAGTGCTTGCGGAAGACAGGTAAATTAATTACCAATACTTGACAAAAAGGTTAAGTAAAAAAGTTACCGTTGCAGGAAAACCAATCGTCTGGAAGAATCAAAAAATATTTTCGACACCATTGTCAACAACAACACGTTCAAAGGAATATCAATTATTTTATTTCTAAACAAAACCGACTTGCTTGAACAGAAAGTTTGCAATCCTGAGACTGACATTCGCTGGTACTTTCCGCAATTTATTGGAAATCCACACTCAGTTTTAGATGTCCAGAACTTCATACTACAAATGTTTATGAATGTTCGTCGCAGTAACAACTCCAGTAGGATCTACCACCATTTTACCACTGCCATTGATACGCGCAACATCAATGTCGTGTTTAATTCGGTAAAGGACACTATACTGCAGCGTAATTTGAACGCTCTTATGTTGCAGTAGAATCCCCTCCAAAAACTTTATAGGATATATGATTCCTGGTTTTATATAAACCCATTTAAAAAGTGAAAGTGCCAGATATAGCCTTCAAACAATAAATACAGCAGTCCTGAGACTGGTACTATCCACAGCTCCAAGGCAATCCGCACATAATTTTTTAAGGCGAAGCGATGAATTCAGCAACGTAATTTTAATGCTTAATTTTCAATCTCTTAACATGTAATATATGATTTCTGTAATATACATATCCACTAAAGAAATGATAGTGCCAGATGCAGGAGCCTTTATTTTAGATGAAGGCGCTAATTGTTGTTAACTCTTTAAAATGGTTTGATTACTCAGTAACTCAGTTTGTATTAAATAATATTGTTACTTTTAAAATTAAGATTTAGTATGCCACTAGTAATATATCACAACTGTATATACATAAATAAATTAAGCTTTCGGACTCTGTAAGGAAACAGACTTTGCCGCCATATGCTTATATAAACTAACCCAAAAAAACGTTTGGGTTTTTAAACATGCAATCAAATACATTGACTTTAAACTGATATGACATGGTATGCAGATCAAACCTGCCGACGTTTATATACCCTTGAAGCTTTGGAAAAAGTCAGTCGTCATCTAGCTTTCAATGTCGCTTCGCTGATCTGGCGCTGATTCTCGTTTTGCCATCGCGCCTTTCATATCGCTTGTGTTGACGTACAGGCAGAGGCGGTTAAACTTCTTATAAACTCGCCGAATATTTTGTGGCATTGCGACAGTTGTGTGGTAGCGAATGATTCGCATTCCAAAATTGATGAAATGGATGCCAAAATGGAAAATCTGAAGCGCTCATATCATAGCCTTAATTCCAAATGTCTGGAGGCGTTCCCCCAACAAAAGGATTTTGCTCAGCCAAATAAAAATATTAACTTTTATCCTCGCCATCCAAAGGGTGTTGAATATTTAAAGTACGTGAACTTCAAATTTGTTTTCCAAAATGTTTTTTGGTCGTTTTCAGTGAAGGTCAAAAGGTTTGTGCATTAAAAAAAGGCAAACGCAGATATAATTCTGTCGGATTTAGCTGGGCCTTCACAAAGTCCAAGCCTAACCAATCTTCTTCTTCTTGAGTCCCAGCATCTGCGAACGGCTCTTCTTCAAACTACAGCACAACAACAAAACTTGACTGTAGTGTTCTTAGCATACTACTGCCGAAGTTGGATTACAGCTGGAGCTGGCTCTTCGGTATATGAAATTGCAGCAACAACGTCCACAGATGACTTCGATTTCCCTTTTGTGCGGCATACGCTTTAATGCTGGCGAAGTAGACTCACAACCGCTCTTCCCCTCCCCCTCTCGCCATGGCGCTGCTGGGCATTTGAAATCAGCAGTTCCTTACATCTGTCACTACAACAAAAAGTAACGCCTTTGCGCGGAATTTGTTTCACTGCCAGCATATTGGAACTGTGGTCGCTCTTCGTGCATCGCGCTCTTCAACATTAGATCTCCTAATACTGCTTCCCTTGGGAAGGTGGGGCCCTTTTATGGTCCAGTTACATCGCTCTAAAGGGGTTATATATAGTTAGAAATTTAAAAAAAAATATTTTTTCTTTATTTTATTTTAAGACCGAAATTTGGCTCAAAAATCAATTTTTTTGTTTGAAAAATCGCCATTTTTTCAAAAAACTTTATTTTTCTTACTCCTTCGATTAATGACTTGATTAGACAATACTTTAACGACATCTCTTTAATTTTTTAATTTCGGAGGATCCAGTCCAAAGATATGAGGTCACAGCAAAACGCATTTTTTAAAAGGAGCTCCCGGAGATTAGATTTCTAAAACTTAGTCTTTAAATACAAGTTTATAACACAATATGCGTTTAAACTATCAGATAATTAAATTTAATAGTTTATTCAATTTAGTTAAATATATTCTTCAGATTGTTCTTATGGGAGCTATATTATATAATGGTCCGTATAAACTATTGCTATATCCCGAAGAATATTAAAAAAAATGTATAAACAGATATGATATATTTATTTAATATTTTTTTTTAATATTCAGAGCTTTTTCGTAGATTCAAATAGTTGGTTGAAAAGCTGAGTTCAAATTTTAAATCGAAAGCTTGTATATTATGTAAAAAAAAAAAATTATGCTTTTCATAACACGATTTACAGAATCGTATCCATTTACGGGTAAGCACAGATACGGGTAAGCACAGAAACTTTTTATGATAAATTGCTAGCATTATTCTTTCACCATACCAAAATATTTTTGTCTATATATGTGTATTTATAAATTGCGATATTGTAACGACCTGATTTTATATATTTGACTCGGTACGTGCGGCTAGCTCAGAGAGATTGTGGGTTCTTTTCACCAAATTTACATTATGCTATTGCCTTCAACCCAAAGAATACGCAAGGGTTTTTGGGTTCGTGGTGTTTTTTTTTGTCTCCTTAAATATACTGCTCCTGCTGCTCCTCGTCGTTGTCTTCTGCGGCGTTGAACCTCTTTGACTGGCTGCTGGTGTCCGAGATCGTGATGGCACACCGAAACTTTGGATGTTATGCGAAAATTTTTGTTGGGGCCGGCAAGGTGTATCGCCTAGTAGGTAGAACTAAGTTCTGACTTATCGCCCAGCCACCTTTATCGCAGGCTCGCAAACTTCGGTCTGGATTTGGTCGGCAAGGTTTATCGCCTAGCAGGTAGAACTAAGCTCTGCCTTATCGCCTAGCCACCTTTATCGCAGACTCCATGCAAGGACTCCTTAGCTCGGCTTAACCAACGCCTAGCACATATCAACGAGCACCAACCGTTGGGGTATCTCAAGGCACACATATGCTTTTCGAGAGGCAGCACCTTACGATCCCAGGCCGCCCCTCGGATGCTGGGGTCGTTGGGTGCTTCCCAAACAGCACTGCTCCGTTCTGACTCCTATCTTGCCGCATTGCCAGCAGAATGTGAGTCGCCGATTCTGGCTCTCTCACTCTTTCGTCCAGTGATCTGCGGCAGGAGTCAGCTGGATTTTGCACTTATCCACTGCGATCGGTGTAAACTTTGCTAGCTAGCAAAACAACTTTCAAAATTAAAACTTTTTTTTAATTTTATTGAAAAAAAATTTCCCGCTCAATTTTTTTTTTAGTTTTAAGATGTTCTGCTAATTTGATAACAAGAACACCCTACTAAACTTTAACTTTTCTAAAGTGTTTTTAACTGGGAATTTGCCGTTACTTTTTCGCTCTTAATTTAAGTTTTATTTTAGAAAAACAAGTTGTTTTGATAAGTTGACTTCAAGTTAGCCGAACACCCTACTAAACTTGAATTTTCCAAAATTTGTTTAACTCTGAATTTGCTGCTTTTTAACCGTAAATTATTGGTGAATACATAAATTTACTCCCATTTTTTTTAAGCTATAGCTTTTTTTCCACTACACATCCTAACTTATCTTGACTTTTCCCGAAATCTGTTTTACAGAAAACGATTTACCATAGAAATACCCTTTCGCCAGGGACATCCGCTTTGTCCCAAAAAATAAATTAGTGACCCCAACACCTCATGTTGACTTAACGTCCGGATTACAGTGCGACTCTGGTAAACTGTCACATGTGTGGTACCAAAAAAGGTTACGTGTGTTCAGGTACCAGAATTAAAATACATTTTTATTTCATGCCCCAGAATTTTCATCACTAGGAATTATGGTTTATATCCGTAACAAAGTCAAAGTTAATAATTTAAAGGCCGAACAGTTTACATTTTCTCATGCCAGGAATGTATCATCTTGTACGAGTGGTATTCCTTGTGCGCATTTTCCAACCCTGTGCTAAGCCAGTTTCCGGCCGAGGGTATATTTGTGAAAGAGTACGATCTTAGAAAAAAAGAATAGTGCAACGGAAATGGGAAATACCGTTAAAGAGCCACTCCCAGCGCAGTCTTTTGTCTCTTGGAACTAACGTCTTTCGCTATAAATGGTTTCAGAAATATCCTTCAGACTGACGTTTCTTACTCTGACTTTAGTAAAGCGTTTGATTGTGTAAATCACTCTCTTCGTGTATGGATGTTAGACTTATTAGGGCTTTGAAATGATCTTCTAACATGGATTTTGTGTAATCTAAGTGGTAGGACACAACGAAATCTCTTTAAAAGCCCCATCTCTAAAATAATCCAAGTTACTTCAGACGTCCCACAAGGGAGTCACCTGGACCCGCTTCTTTTTACACTCTTAGTTAACGATCTGCCTCTAGTTTTGACAAAGTCGCGTGTCCTTATGTACGCAGATGACGTCAAGTTATGCCTGGAACATAGCGTTATTTCCCTCTGTTCAGATTAACAAACGAACCCTAATGCTTTTCAAACATGTTGTTCTATAAGTCTATTGGACTTAAATAGCACTAAATGCAAAGTAATAAGATTTTAATGGGTCATCCCAAATTATGCCACGTATACGTTAGGTGGTTGTGAGTTGAACATACCGATATTTCCCTTTGTTCAGAATTAGAAACGGATCTTAATGCTTCAAGGAAGCGGCGCTCGGCCTTAAATCTCCCACATGCGAAGACTGCATGTTCCGCACTATGTGCAGTCGCCACTGCTTTCATAGTCGAACCTATGTCTGCTAAGAAGTTGCGTGAGGAGGAAGTTGATTTGCCTGTGCTTTCTTTCCACCCAGACAGTTTTGGGGTCTCACTGTGACTGCCACGAGGCCAATCCTCCTTCTCCAAGGCATTGCGGTTCTGGCTATGAAGAAGCCCACTGATCGCAGCCTGTTTAGCGGCCAAGAGCTTCAAGGGTGGGATCCCAGCGGTTTCATTGGCAGTCTAATCCGACAGCGTTCTAAAAGTAATGCAGATGCGCAGGGCGGCTAGTCTATGGGTGGATTCTAGACTTTTAGACCAGCCCAGCGTTGGCTAGCTATGCGCTGATTACCTCAATTCTCCGGTCACCGGCCTGTTCGAGCTTCTTTTCCACGATCACGGCAATGTCATCCGCAAAGCCCACTACCTCGGTCCTCCCTGGCAGAGCGAAAAGAAATACATACATCACGTTCCATAGCGAGAGCGGCTTATTTGTAGGCGTTACCCCATGGGTCGGGTCAGCAGAATCGCACAATTCCAGGAAACAACTTTTCTTGTATAGCCATCGTTAGGATTTTTGGGCAGGACTGATACGTGATCCGTCTTTCCAAGAAGTTTCGCGCGAGCGTTGGTAGAGGCGTTGAGCCTTGAGCGTTCTGGCCTCAACTGTAGAACCGTTCCACCAGTAAGCTGCTTCTCGGAAGGCATGCATCTAACGCAAGAGGCTTGGATTTGCTGCATAGAAGCGTCTGCGCTCTGGTCGGCTCATCCGTTGGGCTGTAGCTGTTCCATATGCTCCGCGAAAGCTTGCACATCCAGCTTCTTCGAGTCTGCGCGGGACGAGACGACGGGCGCGTCTGCTGCAAACCGCCAAGCCCTGCCTCTGGCGATAGTTCTTTCACTGCCCCAGTCTACGGCCCAAGCGTTAAAGTAGTCTGCGATCAACGAGGGAAATTTACCTCTGGCATCAGTGGC